ACAGACAAGCAGAGAGAATCGGCTAATCCAATAACTGCGCTTTCGGATACGAGAGAACGAGGGAGGCACCTGATGAACGCGGAGACGGAAAAACCATAGCGGCTTGCGAAGGCTGGTTTTGATTTTAAAACACGGGTTTTGGTCGGCTAGGCTTTTTATTGATGAAATGAAAGGAGGAGGTTGTTCGGCCCAAATTTACTACACCAGAGTCAGCTCTCCAAGCCCATTATTAAGCCCAAATAGATTCCGAGCCCATTGGGTATGGCCTTTGTCCAAATAAGAGAAAATTACCCCAGTAACGATCCCTCATTATTTTTATTGCATATTTATGACCTCTTTAACATTATTAGCAAACATACTGAAACTCCTATCTTTATTTGCATAATAATCACACTTTTTTTAAAAAAAAAAATTAGTGTGGGTGCGTCTTTGTTGGATAGCATTAAATATATGGAGACTTTTCTCTCCAATCAAGTAATGGAAGAAATTAGATAACAACTTCAATTCTAATTTATCGCCGACCTTCAACACGCCGCCCTTCTTCACTGCCAAGAGGAATGAACCCTCTCCGATTTCGACCGATTGCTGTTCGAGAATTGAAAAAAATAAAGAGTTCCCTAGACGACGGTGTTTATGTTCGGATCGTCTCGCCTTCTCGATTTCATGTGAAGGTTGTCCAGGAAGGCGAAGCGCCTCCTGATGTCGTCGGAGGCTATTTTCCGGAGTGGGTCGGGTGGCGAGGCCGGATCGATGTGGATTCGGATGACGTCAGCGAGTTCGGCTTCAAGTTCGCACAGTTTCTTGTGTAGGACGACTGATTTGTTCTTCGTTTTGCTGTTTTGAGTAATTTTTCGCTGCATTTGGTAATTGTTTTTGGTTAATTTTGTAGTTTCTTTTCATGTGATTGTGTGTGAGAAGGTACTACTTGCACACACGCCGGTGAACCGCGGCGACAAACGACAGTATATGTTGAGTGTATAGACAATATATGTTTAGTATATGTACAATATATATAAGGTATATCAGTTTATGATCAGTATATGTATAGTATATATTAAGTATATTAGTTTGTGTACAATTTAGTTTATAAATAGATGTTTTTTTTTTCTCTTTTTCAATGTTTATTCATAGTTTATGTTTAGTATATCATAAGTTTTTTTATTGAAAATAGAATTTTTTTTTCTATTTATTTTATTTTGTGTATATTTATGGTTTATATTGAGTATATTTTAAGATCTCTTCATAAGATCTTAAAATATAATGTTTATTTTTTTTTCTACATATGCAATGTGGATATTAAATCGAACCTTGTTGAAAGTGGATTAACTCGATATATTACATATGAAAAATTGATTACAAACAAAAAAGTTATTAATTTTTAAAAAATTTGATGAGTGGATATTGCAGTAAATAAAAATGGTGTTTTTTATTTTTTATTTTTTATTTTCTTTCCGTGATTTCCGAATATTATGGAGGAGATGCCTTTTGAAATTGGTTCCATATTAGTTGGCAATTATACAATTCTTTAAATGTTATCTCGTATGATTACAATATTTTTCTCCTTAATAGCATATTTGCAAATATTTGTAAATCACGTAGGAAACATGTAATTACGCCTCCAAATAATTCGATGGAGCTTGCCAACGATGTTGCTCGTATAACATACGTGTATTATATTGGAGCTAGTTAAAAAATTTATACTTTTAACTTTAAAATGATAAAAGTAAATTCTTTTATTTCAATTCTAAATACTTTTTGAAAGATTTTATTTATATTTAAACGACCTTATTTAATGATAAAATGGTAACTATATATATGTATGTGGTGAGTGATTGGAAATTGATAGCTTCATGAATTTTTACAAAATTTTTTATTATTTTCCTTTGCTATCAACTAGTACTTGACCTATGCTATGCACGGGAAAGTAAGAATATCGGTTGTATTAAAACTAAATATACAAATAAAATAATCATCGTTTTCTTATGAAAACATTCTTACTTTAATTATTTGAACTGTGGTATATTTATATAAACAAAGTATTATTAATATCTATATTTCTATATCTATATCTATATTTATATCTATATCTATATCTATATCTATATATATATATAAAGACAATATATTTACTAAAAATAGTAGTAAAAAAAATCTGCCAAAATTAATTGCATGTCACTTTGGAAAATTATTTGATTTTTATTTACCATAAAATCAGGCAACATTAAATGTTCCCTTAAATGGTGGGTTTATTCAATTAAGGTTTATTCATTCAATTTCATCTTACCTTCCATATAATCATATTCCTAATAAACATTAAAGTTGATTATATAATTATAAATTAATTACTTCTATAAGTGTTATAAATAATAATGACATTATACGATAATAATTTTTTAAATAAAATAATATTTGAGTATTATATGAACCAAAGTATGTAAAATTATTATTTTTCTGTATTCAAAATAAATATATATGTTAAAATATTATCTATATTATATAAACGGGTCAACGGACTAATATATTGTTAAAATAAAGTTTTAAATAAATGTTCTAAAATACGAAATCCTGTGTATCATATGGAATTCTCACTAGTTTAAATTCATATGTCGTTTTAATAATAACTTGGTCACCCGAAGTGTAACAAAAGTTGTGTCATTTTTTTGGACGATTTTCCAAATGATCTGAAATTGGTTCAATAACATGTGCAATTACCTAACTAAATCAACCCGGTTGATTTGAATAATTTTTATTTAATATAATTAATCTTATGAAATAAAAATGATACGCGATTCATATAGTAAATGATTATAACAAAGTACAATATATTATGACTCCAAAGAATTGAAGACAATTTAATTGTTTCATACTTATACATATTTATAAAATAATAATTGTCATAATTTTTAATAACTCAAAATTAATTAATTGAATATGCAATTGGCATTAGAAAGAGCCTCTGTAGAAACCCTCGTTCCCAAATCGCCTCCATCTAGCTTCCTCAGATTTTCAGCCGTCCGCCTTCCATTGTTGCCACCAAGCTTCGCCGACGGTTGTCGGCCCCAGACCGTTTGGTCTCTGCCCTCTTTTTTTCTGCTCTGTTACCGGTTTTTGATGGAGCTGAACTTCTTCTGGGGCGATGGGTCTTCGTCTTTTCTGGCGCCGACTCGTCAATTCAGTGGGGTGACCTCTCCGATGTGTGGTAGAAGAGCCGTGGAGCGGTTCTGGGGCGGGATGCGACCCAATTTCTCGGCGTCCTTTTGTTTAGGCGATTGGGCGATTGGGCCGTTTTTGCTGTCTGAAGTCTTCTCCCTCTGTTCTCGGCCTTTGAGTAGCAGAGGTCGTAGCGTCCTCTCTCCGGCCAGTGGTGTTGGTCGTGCGTTGAGGCCGGTGGTGTGGTGGCTTTGGGCAGCTTCCATGCGGCTTTGGGGTTGGGGCTGGGGCCTTAACTCTTTGTGTCCGTCCGGACAATCTGACGATGGGGATGTAGCACGGGGTGGCTGGTGTAGCTCTGTGGTTAGAGTTTCGACTTTGTTAGGCAACCGAGTGGTTTTTGGCAGTTTCGGGGTTGGCTCTTTTGGATGTGGGATTCTCAGTCGTCTTGTTTCCGCTGGTTTAGTTAGGTGTCGCTGCTCTGGAAGGGCTCGTCTAGTTTTTGTTGTTTAGTTTATTTGTTTTGTGTTTTGTTTGTCTTTAGGCAGTGCTGTCGTTGTGTTTTTGGGCTGGGCCATTTGGTCTCTGTGAGCCTGAGTGTCAAATTTATTATCCTGTTGGGATCCGACACTCAGGTATTCTCCTGCTGGGAGTTGTTTTAGAATTTTATGTCGATGTAGTTGTGATTTTTGTTTTTCTAGGCCAGATTACCCTGTTGGGGTCGGTTCTAGGCAGTCTGATGACGATTGTTTGTTGACTGTCCTCCCACTTTTATTCAGTTTTTGACTGCTTGTACTCAGCCTTTGGCTGCTTGTATTCAGTTGTTGACTGATCTTCTGCACATTTGTATGTATTTATATATTACCTCTATCGTTTCGAAAAAAAAAAAGAATATGCAATTGGCACGATGGCTCGATGCCAACATGAGTTAGAGCCGAACAAAGGTATTATGAATATTATTAATATTTTGTAGTCTTTTATTCATAAGTTATGAAAAAACATTAAAGGATGATGTTGTAACGAAGAAAGTGCATTAAAGACAAATTATATGTTTAATTTAATTTATCTTTAAACATATAATTTATCTTTAATGATAAATTATATATGACGAAGAGGGTTTAGCGCAGTGGTGCATACCTCGCTCGGCATAACCCAGATCTTGAGTTCGAGTCACCGAAGGAGAATTGGGGAACCAGTAGTAATCCTCTTGTGTGTGTGTTTTTTTTTATAAAAAAAAAAAGATAAATTATATGTTTATTTTATTTATTAAAAAAGGTACAATAAAATTGTATAATTATATATAAATATATATATGTATATATGCACAATGTTTATTATTATTATTATTATTATTATTATTATTATTATTAAAAATAGTTTGTTGTTCAATTTGAGTAATCTTGCAATAAGATTATATTTTAAAAAATGAATATGTTAAATTATGATATTACATCACTAAATAATAAAAATAAAATAAATTTAGTAGAAATAAAAAATTCGATCGAAAATTTGTGGAAAATTTAATCAATATATTGGATGCATTATTAATGTCATATCACATATAATAAAAATAAAAGTCTCACCATAATGGTAAAGAAAAAATTAACAAAAGAAAATAAACCTTGATATGTATATATATACGTGTGTGTGTGCGTGTATGTGTGTGTGTGTGCGCGCGCGTGTGTGTGGTTCAAATGAGAACCAAGTCCTAGAGTGAGAACTGTGAGAACCGCTATTTTTAAATGTATCTACTGCTATGATTGATTGTGTTTTGTGCTATTTTTAACCAGGATATATTTTCTTAAAGGGAAAATTACATTTTACCTACCTAACTATCCGAAAATTTACACTTTGCCCACAAAACTTTTTTTGTTACACTTTGCCTACCTAACTTTGATTTTTTGTACACTTTGCCATTTCCGGTCACCGCCGGCGTCATAAACCAAAACGTGGCTTTTGTGCCTTATTGCCACGTGTCGCCGACAATGACCGGAAATGGCAAAATGTACAAAAAATCAAAGTTAGGTAGGCAAAGTGTAACAAAAAAAAGTTTTGTGGGCAAAGTGTAAATTTTCAGATAGTTAGGTAGGTAAAATGTAATATTCCCTTTCTTAAATATAGCAACACAATTTTATATTAGCATATGTGAAAATGATAGCACCGTGTAATATTAAAAATAGCATCATACACAACTAAAAATAACATCAAATATGGTTGTCACGGTTCTCACAGCAAGACTGGTTTTTATTTGAACCAATCGATATATATATATATATATATATTGGTGCTCAGTGAAAAAAATAAAAGTATATATTTTAGCCATAAAATGTGATCATCAAAAGGCCAAATTTCTCAATCACATCCACTCAACTGTGGGCCCCACCTACCCACTATACACTCTCTCTCACACAATACACACACACCCAAGCCCTATTTCTGCCAGTTTCTTTAACTGGCTAGCCTATCTCCAGACGAGAGCAGCTCAGGCGCCACCCCACCTACACCCAAGTCCAGTCGCGCTGTTGGACGACTCACACACACATGCAGATGAAAACACACACATAGAGTTACAAACGAATCGAACAGCTCACGTCAAAGCTCGACTTGAGCTCGAGCGGCTGGAGCACGGACTGAGTAGAGCTCGAACCCATATTTTACATTGTCGAGCAGCTTGACATATATGTTGAATTATTAAAATACCCCTTATATATTACAACAATATAGCATAGGTGTTTAATGGTAATTTTAGTTTTCACTTAAAAAAACTTTTACTCGAGTATTTTAATTTTGAGTGGAGCTCGAGCGATTGTACTTTTTTTATCGAGTCAAGCTCGAGCCTCATAAATCGAGCTTGAGCAGCTAAAAAAATTATTGTGCTCGATAAGGTCAATGCGAACTTGTCGGAGTCGTCGCCCACATCGCATTGGAATTATACTTCTAAAGGCTTGAAAATTCAGCGTCGCACGTTGATCAACAGGGAGAAGGAAATTCAAAATATCAAAATCCAAAAACGGATTCCGAAATTGAGATGACTTGGGGGTGATGTTGACCAAAGTTAGGGTTCAGGCCTTCCTAGACTTCGCCACCCGCTTAGGGATTTGTTTATTAAGAAAACGAGAACGACAATATCAACAATATTTTTGAGCTCGTACTTGTCGAAATTGTTGTTGTCCTTATCGCCACCATTGGGTAGACGATGAAAAGACATCCAATTGAATTTTAGGCATTACTTTGTATATTATATAAGCCATGGGCTTATTTAAATATATTGAAATTTAGTTCATGGGTCAAAACTGTAACTTATCAAAAAATATAATAAATGCATAATATAGTGTGTGTTTGCGTGTGTTGCGTGCATGCGCGCGTGCGCACATTCGAAATTTATGTAATGCATAATGTACAATGGTGTCAGACGAATTGCACATTAATGACTGCCAAACTGCACAACAGTGTAATATTGTCTTCTGTGCAATTACTAAAATATCACTGCATGGAAAATCAAAAGCTCATATATTTACCGGCTACTTTTAAAATTTTAGTTTTTTCGGTTCTATTTTTAAAATAACTGAGCCGACCGAACTATATAACATATATTACTATTTTTATTTTATTATTTATAACATATAACAGCTAAAGAAAATATAAATGTATTAAAATAATAAATATGTTTGTATAATATAAATAATTATTTATTTCAATTAGTTAGTTAATGTGGTTAACTGACTAAATAAACTGATTATTTAGGTTCGGTGTTAGTTTAGCTTGGGGTAAAAGTTCAGTTTGTTCAGTTTTTTTTTTTTCAAAAGTTCGACACAACTATTTTGGCTTTGACATTTTGGTCGGTAGCAATTTGGTAATTTGTGAACTTTAAATGTGTAGGCGATGACAATTATGTAATTTCGTAATAATATGACGGGTTTTTTAATGTACATGTCCTCACAAAAATTGTGCATCTATGCATTATTATTGTGCAATATTGTGAAAATTTATCCAGAACCTAAAATGCATATATTAAAACTTCTAAAATTCCAAATAAGTCACCAAGGCTTATCTAATTTTTTTTTAAAAAAAAATCCAAACTCTCCCCCATCTCCGTCGACCCTCTCCATCAACATCACAGTGTCGTTCTCCTATGAAATCGCTGTCGCCCCCTCCTTGAGAGAAGATTAAGACGGTGGTGCCCGACGCGGTGACAGCTTTGCTCCAGCTTAATTATGTCGTCGACTAGGTGTGTCGTCGGTCCCGCAGCTTACCATATCCACGTCTAGACAGTTGACCCTCGAGATTCTGCTTTCGGCCGGCTAGAAAGGTCGCGATGAAGGAGATGGGGTTGGAGACATGCAGAGGCGATGACAGAGATAGGGTTAGAGACGATGAAGGCCGAATAATGTGGAGTTTTGTGTTGTACTGGTGAGTCTTCGACGGTCGCTGGTCATGTAGAAACTAAACACAAAACGACATGTGCAGTTTGTTTATTTTAAACGTAACTTTTTGTATAAAATTGATAATTGAGTGATTTTTGTGCCTCTGGAAATATAAGAGACAAATCTACAAACAAGATAACGAAAGTTTCTGGCCACATAACAAGGGTCCAAATAGCAAAGTAAGTCAAACTGTAGTGCAACTGCGTTTGACAAAAACAGGCCGAGCAATAATTATACATTGGACATAACTTTCATTGTAAAAGAGATAATCATGTGATTCTTGTGCCTATTTCAACATGAGATACACATGTACAATTTATGTTAAGACATCACAATAAATCGACTAATAGACTATAGCCAACACAACAAAAAACTATAGACAACACAACAAAGAACGTACAGACCTATACAATCACGATTATCAAAAAAGGTTGATTGCACAACCATCAAACTTCCATTCATAACTTTTAATATAAATTTGATACTAACATGATTCTTATTTCTATGAAACAAAAGAGACTGAACTGTAAATCACATAAAGAGTTCGGACATACTACTGAGTTTCAAGGGTCAAAAACAGCGATGGAACATCATACAGAATGCAGGGAAAAATATAATCAACCTAGGCCAAAAACTCGGGTGCTTTTTATTCTTTTTTTAATTTTTTATTAATTCTTTAACTATGGTAATTATATCTTCTTCTCTCAAAATGAAACACCTTTTTTCAAATCTAAATTTATAAAATGTTATAAAATGTCACCCAAAATTCTAAATCTAAATTTTTGGTGCGATAAACTAAAAAGCGATCGAAGTTACTGCATACAAACCTAAAAAAAATTAGGTAAAAAAATAAAAAAAGGCATAATTTTTCTTCAAATAAGTGATATATATATATATATGTGTATATATATATATATATATATTAAGAAGAGTGTTGTCAATGTACAAGACTCAGTACATCGAATTTTTTTATTCACAACTTTATGAAATTCATAGCTCCCAGAAATTACTGAATAATGGAAGTTTAATGGGAACAGTTAAAAACAAAAACACCATTATTGAAATTATTTTTTTTAATAAATATTATTGATTTAATAAAAAAGTGCACTCAAATTAAATTATTTCCAACTGGCAACTGCACCACCATAAGTTAGCAAACTAAGGGCTTGATTGTTTATAGAATAATTTGTTCAAAATGAATTGTTTTGGTTAACTATAGTTAATTTTGAAAAAAGTGTATGGTTAGTTGTTAGTGGAATTTTAAGAATGTATTAAAATAATATTTAAAATAAAATGATTAAAATTGATTTGATGTAAAAGTAAGAGATAAATGATTGGAAATGATAAGTAGTTAAAATTATGTGAGTGGATGAATAGTGAATTAAAGTTGATATGATGTGTAAGAATGATTGGTTTGTATTATTTAATTATATAAATAATATTAAATATAGTAGGATTGAATTAAAGTTGAGTTAAATTTTGAGTTGAAATAAAAGTGAGTGAAATATTTTATATACAATCAAGCCCTAAAAATCTTCACACTGTGCATTTTAGTATT